ACTTCTAATGGATATATACGGCAATGTAATTAGAATTATATATCTATTATAGGCATCATGCTTTATTTAAGTACCTCAAAAGAATCAGCGATGTGAGAGTGAATGAGTATAAACCTCACTTGGAGGTGTACCTTTATTGCATTAAAAGGATCACAATATGTGAGGCAGCCTGGGCAAGGTGGAGGACCCGTTCGTTTCTTTGATGTAACGATGTAGGGCAGAGAGAGCTCCTGTGTCCTGGTGGTGAAACCCGAGACCGTGGCATCCCGGAACTGATGTCACCACGATCTTGGAGGAAGAGGAAGGGAGGATCCTGCCTTGGAACGCAAGTCGGTGGCCAGGACCGGTAACCTAGACAACGCATTTCGAGGGCATGTGCCTTATCAAGTCTAGGGATAGAAGGTTAGTGGCCATTTTATAGGAGTATAACCAGACACAGAGGCCGGCTACAGACACACAGGTGGACCAGAGCGGACGGCTCATCCCACCTGCTTAACATATACAACCATTGCGAATTCAGGAACAGATTGATAATAACAAAACTAACTGTTAAAAACAATATTAAACTGCTACATTAATATAGAAGAAGTATAATATATGTTTAAAAATCGTCTGTCAGGGAAATTCATTCAACACACATTTTGGAGTGTCACGTTAATTACATTAAATCACCAGGTAACTAAGGGCACACTAAATAGTAAATGCATTAATTAGTACTTGTATATTACACTATTAACAATATAACAAGGGTCCCCCAAAAAATTATCCCCCTATAGGGAGGACCTAAATATGCAAGAAAATATATGTAAACAATGACTAAAATCATATAAATAGTTCATTCAAACAGCAAAAACCACAATGATATGTACTATGAAACGTCTTATACAGAAAAATTAGAATAAAATATTATGTTAAGAGATTTTTTTAAAAAAGTTTTTTTTAAATTGTGACAAATGTATATATTGAAATAAATAACATAACAATTAGGTACATGTAAAAAATAAATTTGCTTGTCAAAAAAGTGCAGGTCTGACCAGTATTTAAATGATGCTGTGGATTTCTAAATCCTCGTTCAAACCATTGGGTGCCATGGAACCCAATTTAAAGATCCAGAGCGCCTCCCTCTTACACAGGAGAAACAATCTCTCATTATCTGTTAAAGACCTTTTTTCTATGTGTTCGATTGCCATTACTTCTAAACAACTGAAATATTTGTTGTGATTGTGTAAAAAATGCCAGGGGGTGCTATGTTTATCACATCCATCTGTAATGAGTCTCTTATTCTCACCTATACGTTTGCATAAGGGGTGTATGGCGCAGCCTACATATAACAATTTACAGGGGCAAGTTAACACATAAACGACGTGATCCATGGCACAGGTAATGAATTGTCGGATATGGAAAACATTGCCCCTAGGATCAGTAATATTAGACCGGCCATGCGTAATGGATTGGCATGTAAGGCAACCTTTTTTCTTGCATTTGAAAATGCCTGTTCTGTTGTCAAAGTATGAACGAATATCTCTATTCTTTTTAGTGGTCATGGTTAGCTTGCTTGGGGCTAAGATATTTTTCAATGTATGAGCCTTCCTAACGGTCACCTGGGGAGCTGAAGGTAGAACCGGGGCTTTATACTTAGAAATCAGCTGCTGAGCTGCTGCACTTGCAGGGCTTTAATGAGGAAAATGGTGGGGTCTGCATCTATCTAGACATCCCTCTTCTGCCTGGCAGTACAAGGGTCGTTGGTTCGAATCCCAACCATGGCACCACCTGTACCTATACCAAGATGGCTGCCTCCATACAGCACAAGGCATGAGAAGTCAGCAAAGGATAAAATATCAGACCACAGGCAATTTTGGGGAATGGCACCAGCAGGGTGCTACAGACCGGGCAAGTAAACAGGCAGCTTTGGCATTAATGGAGTTCACCATCCAAACAAAAATTAGCAGCAAGAACATGTAACCGAGTCTAGGAACAATATTTACTTGGGGCAGCACAGCGGCTAAATGGTTAGCACTTGCACCTGGCAGTACTCGGGTCATTGGTTCAAATCCCAACCACAGCACCACCTGCCTGGAGTTTACATGTTCTCCCTGTGCCTGCATGGGTTTCCTGGGTACATCGGTTTCCTCCCACACTCCAAAGACATGCTGGTAGGTTAATTGGCTCCTGTCTAAATTGTCCCTAGTATGTGTATGTATGAATGTGAGTTAGTGCTCTTAGATTGTACACCCCTTGAGGGTTAGGGACTGATGTGAATGTGCAATATATATGTAAAGTGCTGCGTAAATTGACAGCGCTATATAAGTACCTGAAATAAATAATCTAGGGTCGAGTTGAAGAATATGCCAATGCTTGCGGATAATCTTAGAGATGTTTCGATGAGCTATATCATACCCTGTGATGAACCTCACGGTATTCTGTTGGTCCTGGGGTCTAGACTTTCTATTATTAACAGTATTATTACCACTGCTATGATTCTTTTGAGGGACTTGGATTCACTATATAAGTGTTAATTACAGCAGCAGTGAGGAGTTATGTCTTTTATACCTTTCAAATCACTACATGGATGGCTCTTACTGAGCTTGGAATAGTTGACAGATCATGCTTTATTTAGGCACTTCTGAAGAAGAGATTGTCTGTTGTCTCGATTCACGTCAAGTGCCCAATTGTGATAAGTGCCCGAACATGATTTGAATTTCATCTTCCTTACATGTGTATTTATTGTAATAGATATGTAGTGTACAACCACCATATTGTGTACATCTATATGAATTTTAACATTTTGTGTAAAATAAAATATGGTTCTATAAAAGTTTCTACAAATGTAATGGTTCTATTTGTTCTGTTTGCGCCTTAAGAATCCCACAAAAAGAGGGCTTTCCATGAGCATGAGTAGTTTTAGAGTCTTCACCCATTCTTCATGCATTCAGGTGCTTCCATTAAAGTCTATGAGGTCAAAATACACCATTCTGCTCTTAAAGAAGCTTTTGTACTTTTTCGAGTTCAGACATAGCACTGTGTGAACAGGCCCATGGAGAATAATGGGCTTCTTTAACTTAATATTTGTCGGGCTTCAGGAATTGACTGTCAGAATGCTCAGGTGTTAACAGGACCTTGACATGTGGGAAGAATTCTAAGTGCCACCCCAATGCACACACATGGTGAAGAAAAACCACCTGCGCTATAGTGCAGGTGAAGTTTTTATGCATGCTGAGACTTGCCTTAAAGCAAACAAAAAAAAATTAATATATTGCAACTTACCAATCTTTAGATGTGGTGGCCACATTATTTTTATTCCTTTAGTCAGCCTTATTTCCCATTATTTTCCCCTGGTGATCCAGCCAGTAACACACTTCCTGTACTATATCTATGGAAAAGCAACGTAGCCACACTTGGACATTAAAATTTTCAACGTGTGGAGAGCATAGCATTAGACTAATAGATTTAAATGGACTTTATATAAGTGACTAACAAATTAAAGCCTAGCAGCAGCAGCAGCTAACACTTTTTGAAGAGGAACCTCACATGCTCCTCTGTATTTTTTCTTAATCCCTTCTTACCCATTTTCCAGGTTTGTCTTCAATTCAGATATTCACCTGCCGAGCGGATCCATCATTGCCCTGCTGTAATTCACTGATCAGATACTGCAGCCCGGGTCCGGAGCCACCATCTCGATACTCCTGAGTCATCGGAAACTGGCTGCCTCTTCTTGGTTTAGGCAGCTGGCCTCTGATGAGGCAAGCAGCTAGCTCTTTCCACCAGCTGTTGTCAGTGCCTACTCTATCTGCAGCCTCCTGGGATATGTGACTTGGTGACTTGAAATCGCAAAAAATGATGGAACTTGTCATTCTCATCTAGGCAAGAATGGCAGCAAAAGGGGAAGGGGAGCTTAACACACAGGAACATACAGACTAGTAGGAGCAAGCACTTGGAGCTGCTTATATGTGATAAGGAGTTTGTATTAAACTAAGCTTGTCAGCTCAAGTTCATTTGTTACCTTTTTGTGTCATAATTACTTCACTGCTCCTGAGTTACTGCAAGTATTTTCCATTCTGGGTGTGGAATACCTGCCCCCCTTATGCATGCTATGGTTTTCCTCTGCTAACTCATATGCAGGGGCAGACTGACCATTTGGAAACTCAGGCACTGCCCGAGGGCCCGAGGTAATTAGGGGGCCCTATGAGATGCCACTGGTACCTTTTTCATAGGCTTTTTTTAGTTTGGGCAAGGACACAGGGGCCCCATGATCCCCTATTGCCTGGGGGCCCCATGAGTTGTCAGTCCGCCCCTGCTCATATGTCACTACAGGACATACAAGTTTGAGGAGGAACCACTGTGTGTTGTGTGGAAAATAGGTATTCCACCCTGACCAGTACTTGCAGTGGCTGGGGAGTGGACACATGGCAACATTTTAAGACATGGGTTTGGCTGGAAAGGTAAGTATGCTCCCTCTTCTTTTAGCAGGTATGGGTTTGGCTACAAATGACCCAGTGCTGGCAATAAATCTTATATCCCACTCTCCTCTCCAGTAAGGTATTCTCACCAATCCTTACACACAGATCTAGATGTAACATTCAAATATTCACATATACTAAGACTCACTCAATGCCCTCTATGGCTACAGCCAGAGTGGAGCATTTTAGTGGGTAACAGGTCCTACAGAAGTGGTGATGCAAACCAGTACACATCTTGCTCCATGTATACATTCCTTGAACAACCATTCGAGGCTGAATACTGTTATGCAAGATGTGAACAAGTTGTTTTTTGAGAAGCCCAGGTTCTGGGTTTAATAATTCAGCTGGCAATGCTGTGAAGCATCAGCAACCTGGATAGGCGTGTGGACGCTACTCGTCAGGTGCTGGCTGGGGACAGTATAGAGGAGGGTGGTGATATGGAGGTGCAGGGCCAGAGGTAGGTAGTTGGCTTACATTAGAAGGCAGGAAAAAAGGGAAAAGTTTTAGTGTGGCAACTCCTGTGCATACTGCCCACTGTAATATCGTCCACACTTCTCTCCTGTACATACTGCCCATTGTCATACCCTCCACAGTCTTCTCTTGTACATACTGCCCACTGTCATACCCTCTGCAGTCATCTCCTGTATATACTGCTCAATGTCATACTCTCCACTCTCCTCTCCTGTACATACTGCCCACTGTCATATCCTCTGCAGTCATCTCCTGTATATACTGCTCAATGTCATACCCTCCACTCTCCTCTCCTGTACATACTGCCCACTGTCAAACCCTCTCCAGTCCTCTCTTGTACATACTGCCTATTGTCATACACTCCACACTCCTCTGTTGTACATACTGCCCACTGTCATACCTCCCACACTCCTCCCCTGTATATACTGACCACTGTTATACCCTCCACACTCCTCTCCTGTACATACTGCCCACTGTCATACCCCCCACACTCCTCTCCTGTACATACTACCCACTGTCATACCCTCCACACTCCTCTCCTGTACATAAAGACCACTGTCATACCCCCCACACTCCTCTCCTGTACATACTGCCCACTGTCATACCCTCCACACTCTTCTCCTGTACATACTGCCCACTGTCATACCCCCCACACTCCTCTCCGGTACATACTGCCCACTGTCATATACCCTCCACACTCCTCTTCTGTGTTTACTATGCTTCCACTTATGAATGGACTAGGGCCTCTGTCTCCTGTTCATTCATCTGTACTGTAGCGTAGGCTACAGAGAAAGGGACTGGGGAATGTCTTCAGTCCCTTTCTCTGTCTCAATAGTAAGACTTCAAGGGTCTGTTTAGACCCCTGATATCTCACCAAAGCCTGGCACCCCTCTGTGCAGGCCAGCTACATTAATGTTGCATAATAAAGATGGCTACCACACAGTGGCTACCTTTAAACCTGGGGGCCCTATGATGTCCTATTGCCCGGGGGCTCCATGAGTTGTCAGTCCACCCCTGCTTGAATGCTGACTTTAGCATTGGGAGGAAACTTTTTAATCTTATGTCTCTAACAAAGACACGTGGCCACACAATAAAGCTGGATGAGAAGTAGTTTAATCCTAAACTGTGTATGGTTTTCTTAACTGTTAGAGCTGTGGAACTTCCACAGTTTATAGTATCAGTGGAGAGTGTATATAAATGTGAAAAAACATTGAATGTGTTTCTTAGCTACCACAATGTTCAGGGATATGGAAGTCAGTAGACACACATACTCACACACTTGGGTTAAACTGGATGGACTACTGTCTTTATTCAACCTTACCAACTATGTAACTATGTCATTTAGCCACATAATTTGCACCAGAAGCATATATTTTTTATTTGTATTTCTCTTTGTATCTCAGACCTTCTCCTGCTATCAATGAACACAAAGCACACAGGAAGAAAGGAGAAAAGTGCTGAGACCCAACTTGAACAACTTTACTGCTTTTTTCTGTGAATTTTGAGGATTAATTGCTCCACAATGGACATAACTACAAAGGTCAGCAAAACATATTTTAAAGCTTATTTACTGCTTATTATGGAAATGTACATAATTTACATATACTGTATTGTAGCCCGAGTACAGTTCAACTATAATGGCATGGGAATCAGGGTTTTACTCTGGCTGTGGAAAATGCTCAAAAACCTTCCTAACAAAAGGATCTATAGTCTGGGGAGTGTGTGTGTGTGGGGGGGGGGTTGACTGTTCCATACCACACATCACTTTGACAATCACTATGAAGCCTGGCATGATCTATAGCTTTACAGTGACTCACTAGATCTTTGTCCTCTATCCCACATATGTGAGACAGCTGTCTTACCTTGAAGTGTGTAGGTGCAATGCAATAAAAATCTTAGATTCTTCCTAAAGCAGAGACTTTAAAAAAAAATAATAACGTTTGTATTTTTTTCACAAAACACAAATCTTGATTTAACTTTCATCTATTAGTTTGAGTTTAGTTAGTGGAAGGAAATACATTTTTACCAATACAATATCCTATAATTTATATGTGAGTAAAAGTAACAAGTAATTGAATGCATTAAGTATAAAAAGCAGGATACTGAATAAAAGCAATACTTTACCTCTTAAGCACATTTAAATACACATTAGAAGAGCCTTGCATTGTTGCCTGTTGTTGTTACCTCTCACTGAGCTTTGCCGTTATAATCACCCTATGAACCTGAGGAATGTGTAGGTAGCCTGAAACTGTTTACTTTAAATTTTTTCATCTCAGCTCTGCAGGGAAACATTTAAACGCCTTTCAACTTTCTAATAAGCTGACATAAGATTTTCTAAGCTGTATTTCCTATATTTGACACCAGGCTAGTGTTAAATACAGTATTTCATTCTTTAATTGGATTTCTGGGTGTTTATTTATATGGAATCCTTTATATCAGAATGTGTTTGAAAAAGTTAGGAGTTTTGCTTATTTTTTGCAAGCAAAATCAGATGCTGATAAATCAATTTTTAATTTAACTTGGTAATAGAGTGGGACTTTTATAAGAGAACCTTGGCCTTTTTGTTGGCAGACACTGTAGGCCAGCCTTATATTCACTGTGTCATATTCACTGCATTCTGATCAGCTCTAGATTTACGGAAAAGCCATTCACACCCTTGAGTGATAAGTTTTCAATGAGTGGTACATATGTTTTTGCTTAACAAAAATTCCAGCAAAATTTGGAACATTAAAATTCAAAATGCCCTACTATGGTCACACAATAATAACAATCCCTCCAAAAAGGTTTTTAAGCATTCTGCTGCTGTATATAAATATAATATACCTTAAAACATATATAAAATAAGTGTTATACATCACTGAAAAAGTATACATATAAACCAAAATACTAATAAAATAGTGTCCTAAAAATAATCTAAATTGCAACACAAATTAATATACATCAATAGAAAATCATACACAATCCAATATAAATCACAGCAAAAACGTAACAACATCCAATGGTGTTTAACGCAACATTTTCCTGTACAAGTCTAATAAAAATCAATATTTAAAATGTGAAAGTATAATAAAGTTCAGTTGTGTATGGTCCCAAATTTTTCTCCACCTTGAAAATCTCTTGACACCACCATGCTCTTTCCACCAGAATAAGGGAATGCAAACACAGGATACGTAAGCCTATCCTGCAACAGATTATGCAAACTGAGCTCACAGTAGATAATCAAGCTGCTTACTCCATCTTATTTCCACCATTACTCCACCAATCCCTCAGGAGGACAAGCATACCATGAAAAAACTCGATAGTGTAATATCAGTAATTTGTATCAATCACAGGAACACTACTCACATTAAACAATATGCAAGCAGGCACATCTACTAGGCTTTTAGCTTCCAATGGTAAGCATGTGTGGTATAGGGCTGAAGTGGTCTGCTGGCTATAGAACATTCCGTCACCTCGATGCAGACCTTTCACTGGAGGAAAGAAACTTCATATGGACCTGGACGTCATTCAATAACAAGCAAACAAGTTGATGCATTATGAGAGTAAAACCTTCTTTCTCAGAGCTCTGAGAAAGAGGATTTCACCCTAGAAATGTTTTGGCTTGTTTGCTTGCGATGTTGAGGTCCATATGAACTTTTTTGGATCCAGTGTCAACTACTGAGGTACTGGCATCTGCATATCCCTTGGTGTCTATAGCCAATGGGCTTTTGTGAGTATGTTTTTGACACCTTTCTATTTTAATAAATGGTAACACACAAGGTTTTCTGCCTTCTTTTTTCTTATTTATTGTTCACTGCATAGATTTCCCCAGTAGGAAAAGGGCAGCATACCTGAGGATTACCATCATTTGAGTGAATTACTGCTAAGCCTTACAGCAGAACATTTCTACTATGCCAACTGCATTTCTGATGTTACTTTTTTCTTTTATTTCCAACACATAAGTAGTAACCTTGGAAAGTATTGTATTGGGAAGAGAGGAAGTGCACACTGTTTGCAAAACAAAACAAAAGCATATTAATTTAATAAAAATGGGCATTGGCAATCAGTGGTAGATCCACCTGGATTCAGGATCATCACATACCTTCAGCACTCCATAGCATATACCCTGTTACACTCAGGACAACACAACAGGCAGCCCAATACAGTTAACGCTGTAGGATAGAGCAATGGATGTTGCCTGGAGTAGTTCTCTAGCTGTCTATTAGATGCCTCCATAGGTGGAGGGTGAGCTGTGACTTTAGGAGTCACTGGAGTTAAGTGCCAGCTATGACACTCCTATGGGAGGGTCACCATGGGAAGGAGGTGATAGGTATATTGGTTCATGGGAAGCCAAGGGACAGATGATGGATAGCCAGGGCTGGGAGTAGTGGCCATGTGTATTCTTTGTTGGGGTCATAGTGGGGTCAATTACTGGCTAAATGGGTGTGGGATTACTCTAGGAAGTGACCTGTGCTGGGAGCCCTATGCTAATAGACGTACTCAGCCAGATCAGGGGGGTCACCCATGGGCTGGGTCGGAGTGGGTTAAAGAACAGTTCTGCTCCCATACTACTCCACAGCACCTCTCACTTGTTGCCTAATCAAGGGGTGGGTAGTCCTGGGAAATTAAACCCCCTACCAACCATATATAAATGTGAACTGTTTCACCATTACCACCAACCATATTCAGATCTCCAAAGGAGGTTTGAGTCTGATTGGAGGTTATGAGAAAAGTCATAGTATTAGCATATTTTCTACTGTATATGAGAGACAGCAAGAAGACTTTAGGGGTGTTCCAAGATCAATAGGTTACCAATAAAATGGAGTGGGGTAGATGTACACAGTCACATGAACAAACAAACAAAAAGGCCAATTGGAGTGGAACCTAATTAACCTAATAGAATGTTTTTGATTGTTGCAGGAAACTGGATCACTTGGGAAAAAAACATACAAACACAATGCACATAGTAATATGTGATATTCGCATGTAAAATAAATTTGTGCTGCATAACAGATAAGCAAGAATCTAAAGATAATTATTAGCAACATAATTCCACAATTATTTTTCTTTAGTAATGGTTAGTAGTCTCAGCTGGGATTATTTTAGATGGTGGACAATAGGAATTATACAATTCATCTTGGTAAATGCATGTACTGCATATCGATTATCTGTGGCAACAATAAATATGAAAACATGGGAAGCAACAGCAAGGGCTGAGTAATATTTCAAATCCATTAAAATAAATAAGCATTAATCAATGTTCTTAGGTTTTAATATGTTTATTACAATTATTCTACAGAATGACAAATATGGCTTTGTGTGTACAAGCTATTTTATGCTCATTTCTATTGTGGTTTTGTCATGGAGCGAGGAGCCAGACACACAAGAAGGTGCAATTAAAGGTAGGTTTATTTACACAGAAACAAGGCAAGAGTCTATGCAAGTCCAACAGCAACAGCGGATGACTTGGTAGGACAGAAGTTCTCCTGCCGAGGTCGTCTTCCAGGATAATCAAGTCGAGAACCAGCGGGAATCATAGCCAA